GTGAGTGCTGACATGTTGCAACACATTTTTCTACAAGTAATTTGTCTTAAAACCAATAACCTAAACAGGGTTTTATTATTATTATACACGAGGATGTCTTTCTGCCATTTGTTTTCTAAAATATGGCGTTTCACAGAGGGCAAAAGTGTCAGGACGCGCTGGTGAGTGGAGCGGAGGTACGGATCCAAACGCTGGGGAGGAAGGCAGGCAGACAAACTAGAAAACTCAACAGGGGTTTAATGATATCTGGACACAGGATATGGAAACAATGAGGCAGCAAGAGACGCAGAACTGGAGGGGTTTAAATACAAGAGGGCTGGGATCTTGGGTGATTGGGAAACGAGAGGCAGGTGGGAGCAATCAACAGAGACACAGGCTGAACCAAATGGGGAGACAGGACAGGGTGTGACAGAAAGATATTTCTCAGCTTTGTGTGGAAATCACAATAACTTGGTGAAGGATAAGCATGCTGCAGAGGGGAATGGATAGTAGACGTTTATCCATTATGGTCGGGTAGCAGTAATGACTTGTAAACACACACACACACACACACACACACACATGTCTCAGCTCTTCTCTGGACCTAAATGCATTTGAAAAGTCATCAACATAATTCACTCAAAGGTTTATAGCAGACAATGTGGAGCCCAGCCTGTGGTTAGCGTGGTTTTTATGGCTGGTTTGTTTCATTGTTGTTGTAAAATCCTGGCATTTAGCCTGCTCTTCTATTTTTCTCTTCTGGTTTAAATGTTGTTTATAGTTTTTAATTAAGCACATTTAAACCCTAAAAACATCATATGGTGTAAACCAGGTCTAACAAATCCCTTTAAATGACCATTTTGGTTCATCTCTTGAACATTTATGGACTAAAATATAGACGTCGAATAAAAATCTGCATGTAGATCGATACGCTTGATAAGAATAATTGATCAAGACTGATGTGAGCAGCAATCTTCTCACTCAGAGATCCAACGGGATGCAAGACGGGATGAAACAATTCTCATTCGGCCATTTTAACAGTCAAATTAGTTTTTTTGCTACAATAGTCCTACAGACAAACCCAGTGAGGTTCGTTGGAATCACCATCCTGGATGTTTGTCCACCGAGAGTGACTGAAAAGGCCGTAGCCATGGAAACCAGGTTACGAGTGGTCAGGCTCATCACACGAGTGCTGTCACAACAGAGGCTTACACACACACACACACACACACACACACACACACACACACACACACACACACACACACACACACACACACACACACACACACACACACACACACACACACACACACACACACACACACACACACACACACACACACACACAAGGCCTAAACGAGTTTACAACAGTTGCTCTGTGTTGGGCGCTCTGATCCCGGACTCCCTGCAGTAATGTCGTCTCCGTTTGAGTCGGGTGTGTTTGTGTGATGAGACACTTTCTTAGACCAGCATGCATTATTCAGCCAAAGAGGCTGTGCAGAGGCCGCTGTAGTAAAAGCCAATGAATTATGCACAAGACTGTCAGCCCTTAATGACTCAGCCTAAATATAAAGTTTACCTCAGCATCAGCGTGAAACCATGAACTGAAGATGTTTAGAGATCCTTTTATTTGAATAGTTGCTGTGATCCCATCATTTTGACTCCAGGAGAAAAGGCTCTGATTCAAGATGCTGTAATCCTCCCAGAACTCGTGCAGCTTTTGCCTGTTACCGAGCTTAAAGGTGCACAAGTCCGTCAGCTATAGATGTGGGAAAATGTACAAAATGGTATAAATGGCTATGAGGATATTTGCTTTTCCACTTTTTAATGAACTTCACATAGAAAGACTTTTAAATCCCGAAAGGTACAGGTCTTATATATTCCGGACCTTTTGGCTTTAGACCATCAGACATTGCGAGAGCTATAAATAATGCATGAGGCATCTACAAGGTTAGAATGTCTGACTCTTCTCCTGGTAAACAATCAGTGGCCTTCAGGCAAAGCACATAAATGCATAATATGTCTGTTAATAGGCTAACTCATACAGTATGCAGGAGGTCAAAATACACCAGGACACTGACAGAACTAATCAAGTTCCTCGTGAGCTGAACTGTGAAAGTGTCACAGGATCTAGACAGAGTCCATAAATCATGCTGAATGTTATCATTACACGTTCTGCATGGTTGGCAAGCATGATGTATGGATTGCTATTTTTAATTTCAGGATTCAAAACGTGATTCAGTTGAGATCAGAAGTCCAGGAGCCAGAGGCTAAATCGATCCAGGACGAACAAAGGAATCAAGAAAATGCCAGAATCAGAAGGTTAAAGTTGTTAGGGTTGAAACTCAAGTTCAATCTAAAATATCAGATATTGTTGCAGACTAAGTCTGGTCGATGTGAGTCGTTCAGAGTCATAACAACGGTGTAAATTGGGGTTTTAGCTCTTTAGAAACAGGTCATTTATTTGGTGGACTGTGTTGTAGCCTTTAAATCTTAGTGAAATGTGTCCTTTAGGACACATGAAGAAAAGCCTACCAAGCTAAAAAAAAATTCTAAACTCTGGGATCTTCTAAGGAAAACGTCATGATCGTTCTGTGCTTTCATTCTTATGTTAACATTTAGATATTTCTTTTTATTCTATCATTAATATTTACTATTTTTTAGCCGTTTTTGCTCTAAATAATTTAAAAGCTGCAAAAAAATTTAATAAAAAGAATTTTGTTGCTGTGGACATTAAGAGTCAAGCCTGGTCATCATGAGGTATACTGAAGGGTGGAGATTTTAAACAGTAGAAAGAAAGACAAAATATATGTGTAACACTTCTTCAAAAACTTAAAAGGTAGATAAATGAGTGAAGATTTTAGGTTGAATTAGGTAATGCAAGTAAATGATTGATAACTAGTTTTAATCCTAACTCTAACTGATCTTTTATTAGACTCCAGCCCATCCCTGAATTCCACCTGGGTTGGTTGTGGCTCAGAAAGTAAAGCAATCCTGTGATTGGAGGGCTGCCAGTTCGATCACAAGCCACTCCTGTTCATTCTGCCATTGTGTCCTTGGGCAAGGCTTTTGGCTGCCTCACCTCTGGATAAAAGTGCCAGATGCATAATATAAGCTGTAAACAGTTAAGTGGATTTAGCACTTTAAAGGGACTTTACGGACTTTTGAATTTTTATGCTCGCGATTGCCCCCTCAGGCCAAAAGCGTAACGGCAGCTTCAATAGTAGGCTCGTGCACGAGGCGCGCATGCTGTACGTGCACACTCCTTAACGAAAATAACGGCTGAGACAGTCAGCTCCGTGTGTGTGTGTGTGTGTGTGTGTGTGTGTGTGTGTGTGTGTGTGTGTGTGTGTGTGTGTGTGTGTGTGTGTGTGTGTGGCCCGGAGGACAGTGGACAGGAGAACGCGCAGCTAATTAATTAAATAATTTGGTTCTGTACCTTTCTCTTCAGCACAGCCGACAAAGGTTTATGATGGGTCAGTCCTCCTGCATGCTCAGATCATTCCCTTCCCTTGCTTGAAAAATTGTTCCAAAATGAAAGTTGAACCCACATCTTTTTTATCTGTGAATTCAATGCCGTTCGGCGAGTCTCAAATAAAAATTTGGGCATCTTACTGTAAAAAAATATACCATTAATGTAAAAAAGAAACTTCAAATAAACTATGTTCACACCCAGAATCAAACCCAGGTCTTCTGCATGAAAGTCAGACATCTTACAAGGTGAGCTACACTCTAGTAACATTCACAGTATCTGTAACTTTTATATCCTTGATGACAGCTGAAACAACGTCAATCCAGAGAACGGTTCGGAGTGAAAATGGCTATTTTGTTGCTAATTTGCAGGAAATATCTAGAAGAAAGTTCTACAGAAAGTAGCTAAGGGTCCTCAGAAATGTAGCTAGGTTTGTCACTAGGCGTTAGGAACAGCGACAAAGTGGCACTACCTCTTTCTCTCTGCTGCTAAAGCTACGGATAGCAAATGCTACGGGCGATGCCTGAGCGTGAACGCGCATGAAGCAGCCTGCTCGACCCGAGCATCTCTCTTTTTCTGTGATTTTACAGAAAAACAGGAAATCACAGTAAAAATGCCAGGGCTCATTCTACAGGACCAGGGCATTGCAGGAGAATGTATGAAGAAGGCATTTATTATTTCTTCACATGTTTTGGCTGTCAAACTTCCATAATGCCCCTTTAAGCTTATAAATGGTCCAGATTAAATACATTACAAAAAATGTATAAAATAAAACCAGATTCATCAAAATGTATTGACAAAGGTTTATCGCTACTATACTGACCTTAGGCTATGTCCGGCCCATGGGTCCTGTACTGGTAACAAAAATAAATGAATGGGAGTCTATGGAGTGATAGAAGTTTTTCTCTAATCTCATTTAAAATGTGCCATGGATTAAACTAATTATGTCCGTGAATTTTAAAGACACATTCTGATGCAAAGAAATCGCTTATTTTCAACGGAAGGCAAAAGTTTATTTTGGTTTTGGCACGAAAAGACATAGCACACTACAAATGCTCGACTCACCAAATTGATGTCATCACACCAGACATGAAGAGAAGACGATTAGTTTAGAGAGCTTTAGGAGCACTTCTGTCATCCTGCACTATAAATCTGATCATGTGGTGAGTAGCCTCTATGATGAGGGAGAAGATCTTCTGGGACTTGTGAGTTTTAATCATTTTTCTAACGAATTTTTACAAGCAAATAAATCTCAAGACTCTGGCAATATGATATTTTGATGCTTAAAACGAGATGATATTTTCTAATTTTTAATATTGAATTTGATTGGAAAACACAGGCTAGACACTCCCAAAACACATAAAATGTTATCTCATTGTTCCATCAGAATGATGGCATGAAAAACTGCTGCCATCTAGTGGTTGGAGAAAAGAAATACAACAATTGTTTGCATTTAAAGGTAGAATATGTATGTATGTAGCAATGTAATAAATGGCTATATTTAAAAAAAATAATACCACCACGGGGTGTGGAGAGGTTTGCAGGA